CCAGTTTGAAAAAGACAGATGCACCCCTATGTTTATCGCAGCACTATTTACAATAGCCAAGAAATGGAAGCAACCTAAGTGTCCATCAGTAGATGAATGGATAAGGAAGATGTGGTACATATACACAATGGAATATTATTCAACCATAAGAAGAAAACAAATCCTACCATTTGCAACAACATGGATGGAGCTAGACGGTATTATGCGCAGTGATATAAGCCAGGCGGAGAGAGACAAATACCAAATGATTTTACTCATATGTGGAGTATAAGAACAAAGAAAGACTGAAGGAACAAAACAGCAGCAGAATCACAGAACCCAAGAATGGACTAACAGTTACCAAAGGGAAGGGACTAGAGAGGATGGATGGGACGGAGGGATAAGGGCGGGGAAAAAAGGAAGGGGTTATTATGATTAGCATGTGTAATGTGGTAGTGGGGCATGGGGAGGGCTGTGCAACAAAGAGAAGACAAGTAGTGATTCTACAGCATCTTATTACGCTGATGGACAGTGACTGTAATGGGGTTTGTGGGGGGGACTTAATGAAGGGGGGACCCTAATAAACATAATGTTCTTCATATAATTGTAGATTAATGATAACTAACTAAATAGTGACACAAAATATTTTATGACTATATTTCACTTTAACCACTGAAATTTTAGCATCCAAAATTGAGAAATGCTGTAACAGTAAAGTATGCAGATTTTGAAAACCTAATATGAAGATATGAATGTAAAATACTTTGATTTATTTGTATTACTGTATGTTGAAATAATATTTCAGATCATTGGTTCAAGATTCATTATCAAAACTATTTCAACTATTTCTTCTTACTTTTTAAAATGTGTTTAATAGAAATTTTTAATTACATGAGCAGCTTGCCCTGTACTTCCAACAGACAGACAGTGCTGCCGGAGACTCAAATCACTACGCCATGCTGCCTCTCACAATCTGCAACATTAAGTGATCAGAAACAAATTCATACTGCCAAACCTCAAACAAGACTTGGTTGTCACCATTAAAATTTCCTCATAGGTGCTCTGGAAAACTCTCTGCCCTTTTCACACAGACCTTTTTGCACAAAATTCCAATCATATTCCCACTCCTAAACTTCCCCAAAGCTAACTATGTCACTTAATGATTGAAATCAATCAAACCATTTCCTATCTTGCTGTGTCTGAATATCAAGTCTCTGAATAAAATCAAAATGTGTGTTATTCTACCTGATGACTGCTCTCTTCCGTAACAAATCACATGCTAAAACAAGTCCTTACGTTAGTTTCCACAAGTTATATTTCTACACCACCCTTTGAGACGAAAAGAGCGCATGGGGGCATTGGATGATTTACCCAATGGGTATTCGACTATTAACTGGAAAGGAAAAGAGTATTTGGAAAAGCATTGGAAAGGAAGGGGACCATCTCTATGGTTCCATTATTATTAGAGAAGGTAAGGCCTAGGGGCTAGGGAAATGGATAGGTCACAATTAGGGATGGCAATTTAGGAGAAGAAAAAGCAAGTTTATGTTTTGTAGAACAAAAATGTATGACAACAAAAAAGTAAACACTGACCTTGAATGGGCCATTAAGTAAGTAGCAATGCTGTCCTCCACTTCAGACAACTTCTCTCGCAGAACTACAAAACCGAGAACGTACTTGTTAAGATACTGGACTGGCTAAATAAGAACACACTGTCCACCATTAGACATGGTCCATCACCCACTACATCCAGATGGTAGTAAGAAGGAAACTAGAAAACTGCTGACTTTTACCAGTTTCAGAGAAAAAAGGTCAGCGTCACCTACGTGCTGATCTGGAATCTAAGTCTACAGCTGTTTCTAGGGTGCACAGCCCAGTAAATGGTGTGGTTCTGAAAATGTGTACAAGTGCTTCCAAGAGAGGTTCACTCAGGGAGGAATCCTGTCCCTGGTCTTTCCCCCCATGTCTTCCCAGAAGCTTGTCTTGAACGCAAGTGCAAGCCTGAATTCTCATCCCAAGACTTAGGATGTACTTTTATGCTTGGAACTTTCACTCTAAGGGTGAAATTCATGACTTCCCCTCTGATGACCATTTATCCACAGCTAGATAGAACTGATTGGCTATAACAGCGTGTAAGGACGTAAGAAAATCAAGGGAAATGTTACACGTAACCGTGGAACCTACAACAGACCGAGGGCAACGCTCACTTCATCAATGCCCACTCTGTGTTGAGCTCTAGGCTGGGTACTGGGGATAAGGTGATCTATGATTTTTAACACATTCCTACAGGCTCATTAGAAAAAACTTCCTACAAGCTTACTGAAGAAAAACAAACAAAACCCCAGTCCACTTCATTCACCATTACAGTGAATAGATCACAACGTCAGACACCCTGTCGCCATAGGCGTCGGTCACAGAGGCCCCGCCCCCACCGACAGGCCCACCAGCCCAATCAGGCACCAGTCAGGGCCCTCGGGCGCCCAGCCTCACGCTGTCCGTCTCTCTGTCCCTCTGTCCCTCTGTCTCTCACGCGCGAGCGCGAGCGCTCCACAGTGAAGCAGTCAGAACCATCGTCATCTCCGGCTCACGCAGACACAGCCCTGAGGCCCGTGTTCCACATGCCCCATCCGTGTCCCAGGAGCTTGAAGCCTCCTCACTGCGAGCCTCCCCCGTATCCCGACCTGGATCGCCTCAACTCACCAGGCATAAATCCCAAACCACAGCGACACCGGAAGGGGAACCAAAGGTCGAAGTTCTTTTACTACTTGGGAGCCTGTGGGAAACGTAGTCCAATATTGCCAAGGTCCCGTCTTTCAGGTAGACGCCAAAGCCACCGGCCGCGAATTCTGCGCTTCGCCTTGGAGGCTGCTGGGAGCTCCGCGGTGCGCAGCTCGCCAGCCCCTGGCGGAGGGCTGCCGCTGGCTGTTCATTGGACTTCGAAGAGCAGGGTGTTGGTTGTCTGGGATTACGGTGAAGTCATGGAAGGAACGAAAGCGCAGAGGAAGTAATCCTGAACCTGAACCCGGGAAGGGCAGAAAACGGAACCGGAAGCTCACCCCAGGCGGCCGAGTTGGAAAACGCAAGAAGTCTTGAGTCTCCGGAAACCTCGGGCCCGGAAGGGTTGCGGACGGAAGAAGGGAAATCGGGGAACCGGACTCGGGAACCCATAGCAAAGGAAGCCGGCCTCTGAAGGGCTGACGCGGGTACCGGACTTTGGGTCGGAGAGGGCTGAGGCGAGAACTGGGAGCCGGTGCGCGTTAAGGTTTCGCTTCACTCAGGCCTGTACGCGTGGACCCCACGTCGGTGGTCGTGAAGCAGAGAATGACGGCTTCTGGTTTTGTTGTCAGTTTTGCCCTTCGAGAAAGCCCTGACACCCAGAGCGGCATCTGGCACGTGGGAGGCGCCCAGTGTGTGCATGCTTACCCTGGTGCCTGTTTTATGCCATCACTTGTCAGGAAGTTTTCCGGTGCCCTTTTCTAGTCAGTTGCAACAGAGACAACCATAGTTCTGATATATGTCGCCATAATTTTATCAGTTCTGCATGTCTTTAGCTCATCCTAGTGTTTTAAGATTAATGTGTTAGGTCATTCTTTTTACTTCTGAACAACCTTCCGTTGTGTGAATATGCAACATTTATTCATTTTTCTCTTGATCATTTGGTGTATTTCCAGGTTTTATATGTTATGAATAGAGCTAGCATATTTCCATTTCTCCTGGGGAAATACCCAGGCGAAGAAAAGGTGCTGGGTAATAATAGCTAAGTTTATATTTAACTTTTTAAGAAGCTGACAAACATTGTAGAATGATTAGTTGTGATTTATATTTGAAACTGCACTTGATTATGAAGTAAGTAGTTTCTGAGTTTGATTTGTTATTCTTGTTTGGAATTATGAGATAGGGCCAGTAAAGACATTAATGTCACCTAGGGTCCATGGGATTTGTGGTTTTGTGAAGTGGATGAGATGATAGGAAACTGAATTGAGTCTATACCAACTCTCATGATTTTGTGTGCTCATTCCATGGTGACTGTGGAAATGGATCACCAAACAAGTGAATGACTGAGAAACTATGCGTCTAGTTAGGTATGTGCCATTTTGATTCTGCTTGCAGAATTTTGACTTTCTAACTAAGTATAATGGTAGTATAAGATATACCCCCCCAAAAAATGAAAGCAGCATATCAAAGAGGTATCTGCATTCCTATGTTCACTGCAGCATTATTCACAATAGCCAAGACATGGAAACAACCAGTGTCCATTTATGGATGAACAGATAAAGAAAATGAGGTAGATAAAATGGAGTATTATTCAGCCTTAAAAAAGAAAATCCTGCCATTTGTGACAACATGGATAGACCTTGAGGGTATTAGGGTATTAGGCTAAGTGAAGTAAGTTTGACAGAGACAAATACTGTACGTTCTCACAGCTGAAATCTAAAAAATCAAACACTGAAATAGAGAGTAGAATGGTGATTGCCAGGGGATGAAGGGTTTGGAGAAATGGAGAGATGTTGGTCAAAGGATATAAACTTTCAGCTATAAGATGAATAAGATCTGAGGAGCTAATGTACAGCATGGTGACTATAATTAACATTACTATGTATTATCTACTAGAAAGTTGTTGGAATTAGATCTTAAATATTACCACCACCAAAACAAAAGATAATTATATGAGGAGATGGAGGTGTTAACTAATCTTGTGATAATCATTTTGCAATATATACATGTATCAAATCATCACATTGCACACCTTAAACTTACGTGTTATTTAAAAGAAGAATTGGAAAGTAGGAGGTTGATAGAAGTTCTAGATGACAGAATTGCATACTAGGCACACCATATAAACTAATTCTAGTATGTTGAAATGACAGGGACTCAGTAAGTAGCACTAAGAAAAGTATTTTGTTTTTTACCTCTATGTACTTTTAGTAGATTGGAATGAGTTTCCCCCCACCCCCACCCCATTCCTGATGAAATCATGGGTGATTTCATAACTTTTTCAGACCCTCTAAGCTAAGGAAAAGGATCTGAAATAATTTTAATAACAAGGTTGTTATCATAATTAAAATACTCATTTAAAGGAAAAATTTCTTCCATCTGATTGGGGCCTGCAGTGTGGAAAAGTACATGATCAGTTTCTCCTCTATTTCCCTAACCTGTATTACTGAATAGTTAATATTTAGCAAAATGATTATTAATATTTAATAGTAAATACAACTTAACTAGGCAAATTTAACCAAGTCATAATGGAAACTCTAAGTGGGCTTTCACATGGCTTCTTTTACCTTCCTTGTTCACTTTCATAAGAAAGAATCAAACAGAATAAAGGTCCTGTCTTGCAAATCTTAAAGCTGTGGCCCAGCCGAGGTGATGTTCCCTCTCTCCTTTCTGAAATATTCTTTTTCCCCTAGCATATGTGACTATTTTCCCATCCTGAAACTTCCTGGAGATAGGATTCCCTTTCATGAAACTAATCCACATTTCCTTTTATTCTCACCAGGTAAACCTATGCCTTCTCTGAGTCTTCTCCAATTTTAACTAATGTTCACATATTAATTGGATATTTCACTCAGCATCTCTTTTCTTATGCCCACAAACAAATACGTTTTCTGGAATTAAATAAGCATATTCCTTGAATGAACCTGTCTTGTCTAGATAGTGATTTGATGTCTAATAAGCAAATATTTAGGAAAGCCCATACAAGGAAAGACTTTATTATATCCATTTATACTCATTCATAGGATATAATAAAGTGTTGAATTGTGAACATTAAATGTCAGCCTTACTGTCCTGTCCCTTAACTTCTAAGTCCTCTATAAGCCTAATTAGTTATTTACTTCACAATTTTGCTGCCCTGGTAATAATGTCTAAACTTTGGTCGATGTTTTACTAGAAGCTGTAACTAGTTTTAAGGTTAATTTTATGTTAAGGGAATTGTTTATTGCCTTAAAATTAATTAATTAATTTTTAATTAAAAATTTTCAAAAATAAAAAAGATATACTCATGTGTCTACCATGAAAGTGCTGAGTTCTGGAAAAAGGAGATTGATTCACTTGGTACATATGCCTGCCATGCAAGTGGTGGGTATTAGTATGAGGGCTTGCTTATCCACAGCTTCTATGAGAGTTTTTTCAAAAAAAATTCAAAAGAATGGTCTGAAAAGAGAAGGGCCCATATGTCCTCTATGAGAGTAGTGAAAGCCGGGGCTGGTGAAGGAGTTCGATTTCCCTGACTACAACTGGGGAGAGAATCAGGGTCTAGGTCCATATGTTCACATGTACAGAGGAAGTCAGGAAGGGATTGTGATCTGCATGGCTGGTAGTCTGGATACAGGCAGACTAATTGAGTGATACATATTGTAAGTAAATATATTAGGGATATCTGGAACCATGATTTTCACAATCAGAGAAGAAAAGTACAAATAAGCAAAGGAAGAGGCCTAAAATAAACCCTGTTAAATTGGAATGGAATCAGAGAAGTCAGTGTGCACTGAAGATTCTTTAAATTGTTCAAAATTTAACAAGGCAGAATTCTATATCTAGAAAAAATATATTCAAGAATTAATGCAAAATAGACTTTTATATAAAACAAAACTAACAGAATTTGTCACCAATAGACCTGCACTAAAAAAAGTGCTGAAATGAAGCTCTTCACCTGAAATAAATGCTACAGTGGGAAAATGGGATCTTTAAGAACAAAGGAAGGAAGTATAAAAAGTAACTCTGGATAAATGTAGTAATTCTTTTTACTTTCTAAATTTCTTTAAACTATATACAATAATTCAAAGCAAAAATTTTAAGTGTTTTGTGGAGTTTATATTGTATGTAGTTTTGGTATATATAGCTAGAATGGCTATATTAATTTCAGGTAAACTAATAATAAAGAGGGACATTTCATGATAGAAGAATTATCATATATGTGTATGAACCTAAAAACACAGCATAGTACTAAATGATTTCACTCATTTGTGGAGTATAACAACAAAGCAAAAACTGAAGGAACAAAACAGCAGCAGACTCACAAACTACAAGAAGGGACTAGTGGTTACCAAAGATAAAGGGGAAGGTGAGGGCAGGCAGGAAGGGAGGGAGAAGGGGATTAAAGGGTATTATGATTAGCACACATAATGTAGGTGAGGCACAGGGAAGGCAGTATAGCACAGAGAAGACAAGTAGTGACTCTATAGCATCTTACCACACTGATGGACAGTGACTATAACAGGTATGTGGGGGGGTGACTTGATAATATGGGTGAATGTAGTAACCACAACTTTGCACATGTGAGACCTTCATAAGATTGTACATCAATGATGTACAATAAAACAAATAAATAAAAACAAAAAATAGGAGAGGAGCCAAGATGGCAGCATGAGTAGAGCAGTGGAAATCTCCTCCCAAAACCATATATATTTTTGAAAATACAACAAAGACAACTCTTCCTAAAAAAGAGACCAGAAGACACAGGACAACAGCCAGACTACATCCAAACCTGCGAGAACCCAGCGCCTCGCAAAGGGGGTAAGATACAAGCTGCGGCCCGGCGGGACCCAAGTGCCCCACACCCCAGCTCCCGGCGGGAGGAGAGGAGTTGGAGCGGGGAGGGAAAAGGAGCCCAGGACTGCCAAATAGCCAGTCCTGGACATCTGCACCGGACCGCAGACACAGTGCATGCATGGGGTGCTGAAAACTAGGGAAACAGGACAGTAGGACCTGTGAGCGGGTCCCTGCAGCCGGCGCCCCGTGCACAAAGAAAAGTGAGTGCTTTTTGAAAGTCTTAAAGGGACAGGGACCCCATAGCCAGATGGAAGCATCCCGGGACATTTAGCCAAGCAGCACAGAATCCTGGGAAACTCCAGGTACCTTAACCCCTGAATAACAGGGCAGCTCAGAGGCCCCTCATGGAGATTAAC